AATTCAGTTTCTTCTCTGAGACTGTTGGGATGTAACACTATCTTTTTTGCCAAACTTCTTACTACATTTTGTCCTTCAACCCCTCAGTAACCCTGGGAGGAGGAAGGGTAATAGCCCCACTTTTTAGGTGAGGAACCCAAAATTTAGAGAAGGGCAATTTGCCCGAAATTACATCGTTCTTTGTTGGTGACACTGGGGTTTGCTCTTCTGAGGTGGCTTTTCCCATCAGATCAGGTGCTCTGGAGAGATCTGAGAAACATACAACTTGGACCAGTTGGTGGTATTGGTCGAGGTGACGATGTAATGTTCACTTTAGAATGATCTCAGATGGGGGCACTGAATACTGTCCCAGCATCACGGAATGTTGAAAACTAGAACAGGTGGTGGGCTGAGTTCCTCCCGGGTGGAGAGTCTTGTTTCTGGGAGGTGGCGACGTGTGAGAGGCACTCTGGTACAGGACATCATGGCAGTTTCTCAAGCCTTTGTTATTTCCTGCTGCCCTCTGTAGTTTCTAGAGCATGAGCGTTTGTACCCAAGTGCTATGAGGCCTTGCTGAGTTTTCCTTATGGTATAAATAATACAGCCTCTTGGTGAAAATATTTCTAACTTGTAATTGAGGTGTACATATAGTAGAGTTGCCATACCATAAGTGCACAGTTTGGTGGATTTTTACAAGCCAAGTAAACCCATGTAACCAGCACTCCGATCAACAACTACAACATTAGCACCACCCCTAAAGTTCTTGTGGTGTCCCCTTGCCTGCCATTGGTGAGAATCCTTTTCATTGTCTGGGATAGGCCCCACAGCATTCTTCATCTCTAAGTTTCTACCTGATTTGGGCTTTTAACACTTTCAATTTTTATAAGGCTTGGGTCCCCTCCCCCACCAAAAAATATTTCACTAAAATGTATCTCTTCCTCTTTTTATAATCTTATCTTGTGATCAATCTACTTCCGTTACACCAAAGTGTTCTGTGTGGCTGCAGAGTCTTAAGGAAATACGAAGCTGGAGTAGAAAATGCAGTTGTAGGGTTAGGAACTAGAGACATTCCTTGGAATTTTTTAAACTGAAATTTTCATGACTGTACTTACTCATCTTTTACAGGGTAATGAGTGAACCAACGGTAGGTAGCTAGCTCCTTGCATTTGGGGAAATGGTGGCAGGAGCTGCTTCCTCTTTCTCAGAATGCTGGTCAGGCTTTTAAACTTAGTTTTTTAATTAGATGGTGCCCAGCTATAGAACATGTTGATCAAAGATTCTGTAGAAGAATCCTGATCAAAAGAGAGGACATGCAGAGTAGAATATTTAATGCTTGTGTAATTCAAAATGTCTAGAGCCATGGAGGCTTTGAACCGTCAAAGTTATTGCTGAGGTAGTCCTTAAACCAGAAATGTCCCCTGAAGTCTTCTAAAACCAAACCGTAGTTACTAGCTTAACTAATACAGAATGTCTGTCTTGAACAGTATGCTCATTGACAATTCATCTATGTGTACAGTGTCAAATTGACAATAGCAATTTAAAAGGTTAGCTAGGAAACTTGGGAGGGAGGAGGCGCTGGGAAAAGAAGGGTGAGAATGGCTGCACCAAGTTGTGCTTGGAGAAACTTGAGTTCATGGATGTTCTCCTGTGCAAAAAAAAAAGGAAAGAAAACTGAAAAGCACAACCAAAGAAATAAAAAATGTCCCTACTGCTTAAAAAACGATCTGTGAAGGTTGTGTACTTTTCATCTAAAACCTTAGCAGATTAAATGTCTTTTGTAGGCACAAACTCATCTGAATATGATTTTAGTCACCCACTCCTCTTGTTAGGTGCTAGGTGCCTTCGAGTTCATTCTAACTCTCAGCAACCTGATGCATAACAGAATGAAACACTGCCCAGTCGTGCACCAGCCTCACAATTGTTAGATTTGAGTCCATTCTTGCAGCCACTGTGTCAGTCCATCTTAGTGAGAGTCTTTCTCTTTCTCTGTGACCCCTCCTGATAATGTGCCCATTGCTGTTCTGTAGATTTGAACACTTGAATAAAATTTAATTTTAAATGATGTCACCATTTCAGGGCTTGCATGTGGTTGATCATGTGCCAGTGAGAACTGAAAGAGCTGGCCCCTGAATTGGCAATGGACCGCAAAGTCGGTTTGAACCACAGGGACAGCAGTTCAAACTCACCAACTGCTCCTTGGAAACCCTATACAGGGTTGCTATGAGTCGCAACCAACTCCACAGCATTTAACAACAACAGCATAGACCTGGCTTATCAGCATCAGCCTTTTTATAAAAATACAAAAGAAAGGTTTAGAGGCATGTGTAGCAGCACCTTGGCTATCTGGTTAAGTGATACTCTTGATACTAGACTTTTCTAGATAACCAAAATTTTTTTATCATTCCTGTACTTAAACATTGCATTTAAAAAAAAAAAAAACACTTTGCAAAATAATTCTGTGTTTCCCTGTCTTCTGTGGAGAGAACTGCGCTCTAGACACCAAATAGCTTTTATCTGTAGGAAATGATAGTTCTAAATTGCTGCCACATTTTGGGAGCTGCCCTGGAACTTCCTTTAAGGGTGGGGGTTTTTAAGTGAATTTACTTCTATGTTAGTAAAGGTGACAAAAAAGAATGTACAACTATATTAACTCCTGGCTTGTAATACGGCTCCACCTTTTTGCTGAGATTATAAATCTGAACTGGCACATTCAGAGCGATTGTTTTATTTTGCCACCTAAGCACTTAACAACAACCACCTTGGGCCACAACCACCTCCCTGGTGTCAACTTATCTTCCAGGAAATCTATAGAGTGGTGCAGTAGGTGAGTACTCAGCTACTTAACCAAAAGGTTGGTGGATCAAGCCCATCAACTACTGTGCAGGACAGAGATGCAGTGGTCTGTTTCCAAAAGCTAAGAACCTAGGAAACGCTGTGGGGCAGTTCTACTCTGCCCTGCCAGGCTCCCTGTGAGCCAGTCATCTTGACAACAGTGGGGTTGGGTTTTTGTTTTTTTCACACACCTCAACATTTCAGAAATTTTTGTTGACATTTTGGAGCACTCTTGCATATAAATAGGCTTTTGTTTTATTGTGTGTGCGTTTTAAGTATTACTATTATGAGAGGATGAGTCTTCATAAGGTAGTTATTGGGCCACATATTTCTTCCAGCCCAAGCAGTGAGCAGCCGTTAAAATGGCACATTTGCTTTCCTGCTGTTGAGAGTCCTCTGATGCCTGGGCAAGGACTTGCTCCTGAAGCTACTTCTGTAATCACATTTCAGGTGGACACTGAGGTTTTGCCTTGCAGCGCAGGGCTAGTGAGCAATGTATTGCTTTAAAAGAGCACAGTCTTCCCATCCATCAACATTGCCTAGCAATGGAACGGTGACAGCAGGGTTCAGGAGTTTTGAGGTGAAGGTGATAAAGCGATGACTGTATTCCACCTTTGTTCTTCTGCATCATCTAGACATTTAGTAAAACGTTGTGAAGTGCCGTTGAGTTGGTTCCAACACATAGCGACCCTGTATAGGGTTTCCAGGGAGCAGCTGGTGAGCTTGAACCGCCACCTTGCAATTCAAACAGCTTTGCAGTCTGGCGCATTAACCCACAATGCCACAACGTAGTCATTTTTTTTTTTTTTACAATATTTGTGAAAAGAAAATATTGATGCCAGGAGAAAAACAGTTGTTATCACTAAGCTATCAGTGTGTGTATGATTCTTGGGTGCTTTGAGGCTAATGGAATTTACCAGTAGCTGATTTTTATTTATTTATTTTTTGAGCGCTTACTATTCATGTTTACTAGCTCTTGAAGAACTGCCATCGTATGCTACTCACTTACACTTGGTGAACCAAGTCGAGCAGCAGTTGTGGAGCATCAGAGTACATGGCCTGGCACAGTGCCGGCGCAGAAGCGAGTGTCTGTGCCATCGGCTCTGCAGCTTGCTCTCTGTTGAGTATCGCATCCGTCTCATCTCTCCTTCCTGCTGTTGTGTCTCACTTTGAAATGTCAGCGTGAGTTTAGCATTGTTCTGCGTCCTGGGGAAATTACTTTGTAAGGAACTCAACCAGCTTCCTTCAGACTTTGTCATCGCGTATAGGCTAACCACCGCTGTAATTATGTTCCTTCCCATTCCCATTTTCTCTCTTACCTGCCCTTTGCTTTTTGTTAGGCGCTTGTGGTGCCTGGAAAGGCTTTTTATGGTATACCTCATTCTGCTCTGCTCCTTAGGTTACTGTCCACAGCACAGCATTGTGTGATAACCTCGTCTGCCGGTCTCACTCCCACAGAAAGTAGTGTGGGGTACTCAACACAGAAAACACTCATTTGGGATCCTAGAGTCTTGAGTATGGTTCTTAGGTCTCCAAGGTCACTGGCTCAGAACCTTGGGTAGTAACCCTTTGCACTTTGCTGGGCCTGTTTCCCCATCTTTAGAAAGATAGGACTCCATAATTTCTGCCTGAATTGTGCTGGGGGTGAGGCCCTGGGGGTGACCGAGGGGAGTAAGGTTTGCCGCGTGTTTGCATTAGCTCCCCAGACAAGGCCACATGGGTGTGCACCCACACAGGAGCACTGTGGGGCTGTTGACTAGCAGGGCCCACGCTTGTGTTGACCTGAAGTAGCTTGAGGATGCCTAGGAAGCCGGGAAGCTGTCTCTCTTGCTGCTCATCTATTAAATATCTCTCCCAGCTAGTTGATGACTTCGTCCTTGTTGACCTCCTGACATTTCTCTGATGTCCCCTGCCCTTCCCCCCCTGCTGCTGTCCTACTGAGGATGTAATACTAATGTTTGGGAGCATAGACTTGTCTTTCCAAAGACAATTACTTTGTAATTTTAGCTATGTAGTTTAACATAATTTTGGTGGTTTGAAGTTATAGGAAGTTTTGCCTCCCATGTGACTGATACCTGATACACTTGTATAAAATAAACCTAAAAAGAGAGCATCCATGTCTTAGTTGCTGCCCTTCTAAAATGAAAAGGAAGTGACTGATTTCCCCCCTTGTCCTAACTCTTTTTCAGGTTTTGAATGAAGAATGTGATCAGAACTGGTACAAGGCAGAGCTCAATGGGAAAGATGGCTTCATCCCCAAGAATTACATAGAAATGAAACCTCACCCGTAAGTTGGACTGTGGTGCTCGCCCAGGGGTTTGACCCACCTGCTTGTTTAATTGAAGATCACTGCCTGGGTGGATATCATACTTCTGTACATTTTGAGTTTTAGAAAGGGAAAAGAGTGCACAGGCCACATACTCTTAACATACCCAGCAGGCTTTTAGCAGTGTCTGTAATCAGAGAAATGGATGTTTCTGCAGATGACCTCCATATTCACATTAAGTGGGACAACTAAGGACTAAAGAACCTCCCATCAGGTCATTTGGCCACCAAATGAGCTGAGGGGAAACTTTCCATTTTCAAAGCTCTGTGATTTTCTGAAGGGGACAGGTAAGGGACCATGGATCTGCCTCTCTGAAGACTAAAATCAAAATAAAATATTGTAAGAGTCCACTGCCATCCAGTCGATTCTGCCTTAGAGCGAGCCGATAGCCCCTGAGCCAAGGAACTGTGTGCTCTGTCTTTGGAAATCGGTCTTGCTAGATTGGAGGGTTCAGAGTGTTCGCTTCAGCTCGTGGGGGCACACGGGTGCGGCTTGAGCCCCCCAGTGCCCCTGATCCATCCACTCATCGCTCTTGCTTTGACCCCCTTCTCTTTGATGTCTGAGCATCTCTGGGTTCCAGTCAGCCCTCGTGCTGGGGCGACGCACCAGGCAGTGGTGTGCAGGAGCTAGTGCTCGGGCGTAGCATAGCCCCACGTTGTCTTCCATCTGTGTTTACCTGGGTGACTTCCTCTGTGGAGCCTTGTTGTGGCAAGAGCAGGGGACCAGGGCAGATTGATTTTGGTATGAAGGGACACAGTGGGCCTGGATCCTTACAGACCCCTCCCTCCTGTACCTAGTCTTTTCATACCTCATGCAAGTGTAAGAATCCAGGCTTTCTGTGACAAGTAGAATGCCATTGGGAAACAGTGTTTGCTTGGTTTAACAGTGTGCTGTTAGGGCTTTGAGATGACTTGACCCACATTCGGTGGTAGCCTTCGGTCCCTCTTCCCGTGTCACTATTTCTGTGTGTGCCCGTCATCTCTCTCCCCTCAAGTCTTAGAGCAAAGATCTTAACCATGTATGATATGTATCTGTGCATCCCGTAAGTGCCCAGCTCATCAGCTGACGGAGCTTCATAGAGCTGACACAGAGCTAGAAGCAGTTCCAAGATGGGGTTCATTCCTCTCTACCCAATCAGCTAAGAAAGGGTTCTAGTATTTTAATTTCCATGCCAGTCTTATGTGAACATCGCTCTCATACAGAGCAGACTGCGAGTCCTCACACAACCCATGCAGAGGGAGCCATGGCAGCAGTTAATGAGAGCCAGGTGCTCCTTCTGACCTGCACCATCTGGTCTAAACCAATGGCATGCCGTCAGTGACTCAGCACCTGGCTGTGGGGCTGCTCCTTAAAGCCTTCTGTTAACCTTCTGCCCCCTCAGATGGTCAATAAATCTTAGGGAACACGTATTAAATGGCTGCAAGCTATATTCTGTAGTGAAGTTCTCGTGTAGTTAACATGATGCTCGTTGAAATTATAACCAGGAAGCCATAATCTGGAGAGAGACAGCTCTGGGTTATCTTGTGTATGATGCTGAGATGTCTCCATCTCAGAGGCAGAGAGATGCCCAAGGAAACATTTTTTTTCCTTGAGCAGAAGAATTGGGCATCTCCTAATAGCTCCATAAATATTTTGTTGGGTGATTTACAAGTGAAAAACATCTAATTTCTGTGTACATATATTTTTAGTTTGTACTGTCCTATATCTTCTAAGTCTGACTCCCTTACCCCCCTCCTTAAAGATTTTAGTTTCCTTAAAGAATCTGTCCTCTGCTCTGTGACCAGTAGCCAGTTGCTGTCAACCTGATTCAGACTCTTTCCACCAAGTCTTTCTTCCGAGGCACTCTGGGTGGACTGGAATCTCCAACCTTCAGTTAGCAACCAAGTGCATTTAACCTTTTGCACCTCCCAGGGACTCCAGCTTCTACATGCCATCATAATTTGTACCTTGCTTTTTGCCCACGGTAACTCAGTAGATATTTTTAATATTGATACTCAGGCCCAGATTTCGTTCTAAGATCTAGACCAAAATGTTCATGATGATGAAAACCATAAGCTCATATGTGAAAGAGAGTCTGGGGCCTTTGTAGTGACTGGATAATGCCCTCAGCTGAGGCCTCTGTAACCTAAGGTTTGGGCTTATCAGCCGGCCGCGCCCCTGCAGAGTGATGCTGACTAAGAAGAGCAGGAGGTGGTTGCAGACTTCCTGTGCGGCGGCAGGCCACCCAGCGCAGCTCTGCATCCTCAGCTGTGTCGTGTCTGCATTTCCGGGGGGCTGCAACATCACAGAAGCCCCGCTTCTAGGAGGGAGGAGCCATCACTGGATCACATAGTGCATTCTCCTGAGTCCCACATAAGCCGAGTAATGCCTGTCAGCGTTTCCCTCAGTCCATCTTCGGAGTAAAACCTAGATCAAGAGTTGGCTAAACCTTTTTTTTTTTTTTTAAGAGCCACATAGTATTAGGCTTTCTGGGCCACATAGAGTCTCTGCCCTATGCAGTGTCATCTCTAACAGCTCCTTACTACTAAAGAGCCAGTCAGTTGTGGACCATGTGAAAGCAGGCTGGATTTAGACCAAGGACCATTGCTTGCCGATCCCTACCCATGTTCCAAGGCGTCCTGGTGGCACACCGGTTAAGAACGAGGCCGCTGCTTCACGGGAGTGCTCTGGCAATCTGTTCCTGTAAAGACTAACCCAGTGCCGATTAAAGTCCATTCCAACTCATAGCACCTCTTCAGGTCAGAGTAGAACTATCTCACAGGGTTTCCAACGCTGTTCTCTCTGACTCGGAGTCCTTGTCTGGTTTCAGGTTGTTTCAGGTCGTGTAGGCTTTTTGAGTCTCATTGCTGAGAACAGATAGGAAAGGCTCCCTTCTTTGGAAAGTTGCAGTCATTGACCAGATTGATTGGTGCCCCTTTAGGCAGTCCTGTTGCGGTCACCTCTAGGCTTTTTCCCGGTCAGGAACTTGGACAGAGCAGTTGATCATGAAGTGCCCATATAGGTCTCACTGTGTACTTTGTAGACTCTAGCTACAGGGTAGGCAGTGTTCGTCCGCACCAAGCTCTGAAAAAGGAAGCACGAACTCAAAACCCTCATACAAGTCTGCCTGGTGTGGTGCTGGGGGTTACTGCACTAGACTGCAAAGTCTGTTTGAACCACAAGGTCGGCAGTTCAAGCTAACAAGCCACTCTTCTTGTTGTTGTTGTTATGTGCCGTCGAGTCGGTTCTGACCCATAGCGACCCTGTATAGGGTTTCCGAGGAGCAGCTGGTGAGCTTGAACCACCAACCTTGCAGTTCAAACGACTTTGCAGTGTGGCACATTAACCCACCGCGCCACACCAGGACTCCATACAGGGTCACAGTGAGTCGGAATTGACTCGACCACACTTAACAATAACAACCATATTGCTAAGACCTTAGACATATACTAACCGTGTGTCGGTGTGGTGTGTACAACCTTGAAGACGTGTGTCCCCTTGTAGGTCGCCTCTGTGACTGACTGCCCCACATAGGGCTTTTGTGTTCCTTCACAGCGTTGGTGGCACAGAGTCCTGGATACCTCCTGTCTACCCTTCTCTCCCCACTGCTCCCCCTTTTTTTGTTGTTGTTGTTGTCGTTAGAGAGGGAGAGTGCAGGACCTCACGTAATACAGCATTTAAATTAGTGAATTAAACCAGTCTCCAAAATGGTGGTTAGCTTCCGTGTTACGTGAGTTGTGTAGACTAGGCATGCTTTTCCTGTGGATAGGAGCCTATGGGATGTACTGTAAAGAGCCACGGTTGTTGCTGTTAAGTGCCGTCAAGTGGTTCCGACTCATAGCATCCCTGTATGGGGTTTCCAAGGCTTTCAGTCTTTGCAGGAGCAGCTGGTGGACTCGAACCCTGGACACTGTGGTTCCGCAGTCTAGTGCCTGTTGTATGGAGCGACCACTCTGGTAAAGTGTGTGCTGTTAAATGCTGTCAAGTCACTTCTGTCTCATAGTGACCCTGTGTAGGGTTTGAACTGCCAACCTTGTGGTTTACAGTCCAGTGTTTATCCTCCAACACCCCACTAGGAGTCCAAAAGAGACTGATGTTGTTAAGTGTCGTCAAGTCGGTTTCAGCCCATAGCGGCACTGTATAGGGTTTCAAAGGCGGCTATTGGGTTGGAACCACCAACTTTGCAGTTCAAACTGACCTTGCAGTCCAGCACATTACCCTGAAGTGTCACACCAGGACTCCAAAAGAGTGTATGTTGTTGTGAAGTGCAATTGAGTCGGTTCCGACACACAGCGACCCTGTATAGGGTTTCCGAGGAGCAACTGGTGAGCTTGAACTGCCAACCTTGCAGTTCAAACAAAAGGCTTTGCAGTCTGGTGCATTGACCCACAGCGCCATATGGTCAAACACAAATACCATCATCAAATGGAACCTATTCAGTGAAAGTATGTGTAAACTGGGCAAAGTGCTACAGAAATGCAAGGCTGCGGTTTCTTGTTGTTGTAGCTATGAGTGATGGCTCAGCCTAGTGTGAGACCCAGAGAGACAGAGGTTACTAGAAATAGGAGTATAGACAAAAGAAGTCTTGTTAAGTGCCATCAAGTCAGTTCCGACTCATAGTGAGCCACCTGTATATGTGGTTTCCAAGGAGCAGCTGGTGGGTTTGAACTGCCCATCTTGTGGTCAGCAATCCAGTGCTTATCCTACATTGCCACAGCAGGACTACATAAGGTTGTATGTTGTTGTTAAAGTGTAGCCGAGTCGGTTCTGACTTGCCAAACGTGTAGGTTTTCAAGGAGCGACTAATGGATTTGAACTGCCGACATTGTGGTAAGCAGTCTCTAGTGCTCATCCTCCAGGACTCCTGGTTTCATAAAATGATTTCTTCCTTGTTTTCTATGTCTTGAGCTGGGTACGCTTACTTTGTAAAAATTCCAATGAAGAGCACTTTTGTAGGTATGAGAGATTGGTTTGTTTTTTTAAGGACAAATGGAACTGATTTTAAGCCTGGGGAGTGAGAAAGCCTTGCCATCCTATAACATCTGTGTTTGTGAACCTTGAGGAAATGTCTGAAAACAAACAGCTGGAACTACCTCTGTGGGGAGCCTGGGGCAGCATCTTGCTTTGTGTTTTTTGTGTCACACACATCTAAGGTCCTTTTCATTCATATGTATTACCTTTTCCTTAAAAAGAGAAGAGGAAAGGAATGTCTGGGAGGAAAGAAGCATGATTGTTGAGTAACTGCACTCCAGGCTCCAGTGCACCATGGAAGGGGGTGGGGGGCACTGTGTGGACAGTGACTGCTCGGCCCCGTCATACACACTGTATGCCAACACCTACCTGTGGGGACAGTACATACAAGCACATCATAAACTGAAAAGACACCAGAACGTCACGTGGGCAATGTGTCTAGGTCTCAGTCTTGCTGGTTGTCCTCTTGTATTAATGTGTGGCTTCTCCCATCAGCAGCCTGACATTCAAGTCTGTCAAATGAGAAAGGTGACACTTAGGAAGATCTGGAAATGTTTAATAGTTACTAGTGGCAAATCCTCCGCTTGTTATGTTAGAAGCATTCTACAGTACAGTAGCTTATAAGTAAACTAGATTTATAAGCTAGACTCACAGCATTAATGGACTGTTTCATAGCTTTGATATTAAAAGTTGGCATGTTTAATGAATGCTGGTTGCCATGTAAGGATTGTAAGGTAAGCAAGTAGGTAGTTATTGGCCATATATATGTATAGCACTTCCTGTTTACAAATAATATAACATTCAGGACAGTCTGGAAGAGAGAAGGTTGTTTTCAGAATCCCTCTGTCCTCACGAAGAATGTTTGTCATTGGAACTAGAGGTGTGGTGACCTCTGCTCCCCATGAAGCCACTGGCCAGTTGCTCCCAGAGTGTTTAGTGGCATTTTTCTAGCCAAAGCGAACTAGCCTTGGAAACAGAGCATCTGTCACTTGTAAAAGTTCATGTTGTAAGTGCTGCCTCTGCCGAGGTGCATTCTAATGTAGTCACCCGTTCACTCCGGGTGAGAGGAGAGGCCAGCTATCCTGAACTGTAGGGTGCTCCTTCACAGCCTTGGGGCACTTGGCAGAAGTAGTCTTGCCTCCCAGGTTCTGGGTCTTCCAGATTCCCTACCCCCTCATCTCTTGTTCCCTTAGTCCCACCGGAGTGTCCCACCGGCTGCCATAAGGGGCATGTCTCTCTCTGGACAGCTCAGCCTGCGCTTCAGATCAATAGACCTGGGGCTTTCCCTGGTGGTTTCAGATGAGTCAGGAGGAAGCCCACAGGCTTTGGCCTGGGAGGCCCATTTAAGTGTCTTCCTCTGCCGCAGCAGTGGCCTGCAGTAATACCTCAATGAGTCACCCTGTGAGTGGCGTGGGGTGAAGTCATGTGCAGGGAGGAGAGCGCCTCTCTCTGGGGAGAACGGATGGATGTGGGCATGTGGAGACTGGAGGGCAGAAGGAAGACCCCTCCTCCTGCAGGTGCCTTCTGTTCATGCCTTTCGGAGACTGGATGCCCCGCTCCTTTGTGGGGAGCAGATGCTGACTGGCTTGCCTTCCCTCCTTAGGTGGTTTTTTGGCAAAATCCCCAGAGCAAAGGCAGAAGAAATGCTTAGCAAACAGCGGCATGACGGGGCCTTTCTTATCCGAGAGAGTGAGAGTGCTCCCGGCGATTTCTCCCTCTCTGTCAAGTAAGTATTTCCTGCCTCATTCCCGCGAAGCCATACATAGGCCAGGTGTCGGGCTCCACACACAGAGGTTGTGAACCAGTAGCCCCTGGGCTCACTTTAGCCAAAACAGTATCTTACAAACTAGAACATTTCATATGAAATGTCTCATTTCTGCTTCACTTAGATCTGAGTTCTAGTGACACTGGTGTAGGGTCCCATGTGGAAGCCACAGCCCTCAGGCCACAGGTGCTCCCTAGTCCCCACCACTCTCTAATGCCTCATGGGCACAGCTCTGCCCTTCTTCAAACACTCTGATGGCCTGGGCTTCCTGCTGCTCGGGAGTCGGAACATTGGAGTGCCAACTCAGCTGCCTTTGCCACGTACCAGCCTGAGCCCACCCTCCCCATCCTCAGCAGCTCCCATTCCCTTCGCAAAGGTGATCCCGTGGGTTTGGGTTTTATTTTTCTTTCCCAGTGCTAAAGTTGAATATGGAGGAGAGTGAGTAGATGAGCTGGGAATGGGGGAAACAGATGTTGCCACACTGAGAGTCAGAGAGAGTATAAAAGGAACTCAGGACTCTAAGCAAATCATTCCTAATCTTTCACATACTGATTTTGGATTAAATTAGTATTTCTGTTATTAGTATGTTCTATTGATTGTCAGTTCTTTTCACTATAAAATAATTCCATAGGAGCCCTTTCCCCAGGAGGCTTTGAAGATGTCCTCATTTATGTCCTCCATGAGAAAGGTGTGATTTGGTTAAAAACTCACCTCGTTGTTTTAGAGTTAACAAAAAAGGCTATAAGTATATATTTACTTTTCGTTTACAAATGATGTAAACATATAGTTTTTTGTTTTTGTTTTTAAATGTAGGCTTAATGTCCTTTTTCTAAATGAAAATGAGAGGTCACCAGTGATACTTGCACAACCTTGCCAGTATGTTGCTAGGGTCCTTAGCTTTTCCTTGAGTCCCAGCATATGAAAAGGTCAAAGCTGTCTGCTTCTGGGCACATTGGCCGGAGGTGGTGGCTGAGAATGTCCACAGCAGAACGGACCGCGTTCAGTCTCTCCACCTCCAGCTCTGTCACACCAGCTACAGTCTTCAAGTTGCACAACCTCCTCACCCCGTGGCTCCTGTCTAACCTTCTGAGTTGCTGTTGTCAGTCTGATCTTATGTAAATAGTTTTTCAAAGAGTACAGTGTTGAAGGCAGATAGTCTTTGCTAGTCAAGTTAAACTGTTGTTTGGTTGTACGGAGAATTCGGAGGATATTTTTGGTCTGAGGTTTAGAGATGATCTCTGGGCCCCAGTTTCAGAGGTTCATCCAGCCCTCATGGCTCCAGAAAGTCTGGATTCCATTCTGTTCTGCATTTTCCCCCTGTGGGATCAGGACTCCTGCTGTAGAATCTTTGTGAGCAATGGTCTCTTAATGTGTTTGACTAAACACATGCACATACGTGTCTGGAAAAGAGTCTGTGCTCCCCATTCATTTGCATCTGTTTTCTATGCATTTTATACCCGAGGTATAAACTGAACACCACAGAGTAAGGAACGTAACAGTTCCTCACTGAACGGTGGCTCAAAACCACCGTGGCAGTTCAGTGTTCAGTTCAGTGAGAACCAACTGACAGGATTGTGGGCAGCCTTGTCTGATCGCTGCTCATCGTAGCACTTGGTCATGCAGACACCGGGGTGCTCCAGACCCTTCCCTTTGGTCAAACAATAACCACAAAGAATGAATGTGTTCATTGTGTTAGCAATAAAATTTGAGCAGATGTCATGACTGCCTCAAACAACCTAAACACATTTGCAATGGTGGGTCAGGAGTCAACACATTCTGTGTCAGAAACTTCTCACTTGCAAGATGTTTTGATTCCATGACTGAAAACATTCTGGCAGAGTTCCACAATCTCAGTTCACTGTTAGAGACAGACACTGTGCTTCCTTTAGAGACTCTCTGCACTGCACCTGTGGGGGTGGCCTCTGCGGACCCAGAAGTGCCATTTGAACGTCTCATTCCTCATACAGTTTCCTCACTGTACTGTCCAGTTTTCCTTCCCAGACTTGTAAGCAGTAGCTTCCTTGAAGCTCACTGCTGCCGCCTGTTGGTTTGATTTTTTTTTTTTTTTTTTTTTTAATCTTTTGTGGTGATAGTTTACATGGGAGAACATTAGCTTCACATTCATCCTATTGTATTTCGTTTAATTGTCATGGTTACAATCCCTCCATGCATCATCAACCAACTAAAAGTATACCCCACAAGCCTGCCCCTAGGTCATCAGCACACTGCCCCTCTCCCTCTCTGGGTCTAGAGTCCCCAGCCACACCATCTCTCCACATCATCGTCTCTGCCTCCATCTCTGGTGTCACTGTTTCTATGGGTAGGGTCCCACACTCCACTCTTCTCCCTTGATGGTCCCGGGGACCTCCCTCCCCTCCTTTTGCTACAAAATGTCTACCTTTACATTTCCAACCCTCACAGTCAGTCCTGTTAACAATTATTCACTATTGTACCACAAGAGCCCTATCCCCATCTCTTTTCATCAGCCCTGTCCAGACAGGTTGGATACTACTCAGTGGAGATTGTACATTCCTCTGTGCCCACTGGATCTAGGCTCATTCTTGAAAGCTTGTAAGCCAGTCACTTCTTGCCTTAGTAGCCCCAGCATTTTGGGTTGCCAATGTCCAAATTGCCCATCCCTGTCTACCCTGTGTATTGAAGAGGTGGGAATGGTCCTTGCTGTAAAGATTTGTTCCCTCTTTTGAACTACTGCATTCATAGTTGTAGGTCAAGTTCATCAAATTGTATCAGATTACTCCTTTTTTCCTCTTCTTTCTTCTTCTAGTTGAGCTCTGATCATCTAGTCCTTGAAGCCAGGTCAAGTGGGTATTATCTGCAAGTGTGGGTGTTCTTGTGCATATGCCTTCACTTCTCATCAGCTGGACGCTTCCCTCTCCTCTAGTCGTCTGTGGCTATGTCACTGACTCTGGGCCGAAGAATCCCCAGGTCTAGCCATATACTGTTGTTGGCCAACCATGTCTCCACCCGGGTTCACAGGAGTCTGTTGAATGTTGTAGGGCTTAGCTTGCAGCTTCATTGCTGTTTTTCCCTCACTTCCCCTTATCAGTGACCCACGTGGTCACCAGTCATAGTGCATGTCTTCTCGTGTATTCCCCTTGCGTCTTAGTCTTGGAAGGGGGTTTGCCCTGAGGGGACCCAACCACTTGCCTTGATGTCTCCTGGGCTGGTATGATTTTTAGAAGCATTGGTTTACGTTTGAAGACTGAGAGTGAGATGACACTAGAGCATGGCTTTAACAAGTATTTACAGGGTGGAGCGTCCCTTTTGAGGCCAGGCACTTCCCCTGGAGGCGAGGACTCAGCAGTGAAGAGGACAGTTGCTCCTGCTGGTTTTGCTGGTCAGTATAAACAGAACTGACCAGGTGACAGGGAAGCTCTTTCTCTAATGTCTTCTAATGTCCCAGGAGGTTCTTGACTCCTGAGACTTTTCCCCACAGAGAGAACGAAAATTCTCTGAATGGACATGGCTTTGAATTATGCCATTTCTGGAGAATGGTTGGATATAATCTAGTCCCACCCCCTGTCACCTCTCGCATCTCTTCTACTCTTTAAATAGCCCGGGCAGTTTTATTATTTTATTTATTTATTTTATTTTTTGCTTGAAAAGAGATTGATTAAGTCACACTTCTTACCTGAAATAAAACTCCCTTCTGTTTGCTAAGTGGAGGGTCTGGAAAAGGGATGTGGGTGCAGGCGTTCTCCTTTTACCTTACAAACACCTCCTGAATGAGAGGGACGGACTGATGGACAGGTGTCTCCTTTTACCTTACAAACACCTCCTGAATGAGAGGGACGGACTGATGGACAGGTGTCTCCTTTTACCTTACAAACACCTCCTGAATGAGAGGGACGGACTGATGGACAGGTGTCTCCCTGATTCATGATGCCTGGTGCCCTGATCCCTCCAGCCAGGGGGTCCTTAAGGTGCCTCTTGGTCAGCAGCTGACCTGTGTGACCCAGTGTCCCCTGTCCCCTCCCAGATTTGGCAACGATGTGCAGCACTTCAAGGTGCTCCGAGACGGGGCCGGAAAGTACTTCCTGTGGGTGGTGAAGTTCAATTCCCTGAATGAGCTGGTGGATTATCACAGATCGACATCTGTCTCCAGAAACCAGCAGATATTCCTCCGGGACATCGAGCAGGTGCCGCAGGTGAGCCTCCTCAGAGCACGGGCTCCACAAGCCGGCCCACTAGTGCTGAACACAGGAGTGCTTCTAGTTCTTGCCCTGTACTCACTCTTCAAAAGGTGACCCTGAATTCATGTGGCCAGGAAGTTCCCCTGAGGAGCCCTGCTGCGGCTAGTAGGGTAAACATTGGGCTGCTAACTGAAAGGTCGGCGGTTCAAACCCACTAGCTGCTTCTCAGGAGAAAGATGAGGCTGTCTGCTTCCCTAACAATAACAGCCTTGGAAACGCTGTGCTTGGGGTTGCCAGAGTCTGAGTCACCTGGAGTGCAGGGCTGTGCTTTAGGGTTTTTGGTGCATCCCCTGATGCCACAGTGAGCCTCCTCCAGAGGCTGCCTCTCAGGCAGTGTTGTCCACAGTGTCCTAGAGAAACGCAACAGGAACAGCAGTTCTCAGATCCTGAGACCAGAAATGAAACCCTGGCTGTCACTGCCCCAGCCCCCCAGGAAGGTGACGCCATGGGCCCCCTCGATGAGTGCTGTTGAGAGGTGGCACTCAATAAATCTAGACTGTGGCATGCATAGTAGGGAGGAGGGACAGTTTCAGGAGGTCCAAGGAGTTCCACACACGGTTGGTTGTCCCACTCTGCATGGCTCTGGCCACGCCCTCTTTAGGACTGCATGTACTCCATCTGTAGAACACGTCCCACATTCACCCCCCACTCGTTCCTCTCTTGCAGCAGCCGACATACGTCCAGGCCCTCTTTGACTTTGACCCCCAGGAGGATGGAGAGCTGGGCTTCCGCCGGGGAGACTTTATCCACGTCATGGATAACTCAGATCCCAACTGGTGGAAAGGCTCCTGCCACGGCCAGACCGGCATGTTCCCCCGCAATTACGTGACCCCCGTGAACCGGAATGTCTAGGAAGCCAGCCGAGATTATTTAAAGAGTGAAAATTTTCAAACACATCCAGAAGTCAGAGCCCCCACGCTGCCTCTCCCAGCAGCGAGTGGGGTGTGCAGACCACCTGGCGGGTCACCCGCTGGCCTCCTTACTTGGGTCAGAACTCTGGGGGTGGGGTGGGGGTGGGGGAGGTTGGATATAAAAAAATGCCAAAACATACTTATAAATTAAGAAGAGTTTTTATTACAGATTTTCACCACTGCTCCTCTGTCCCCTTCTCTGTCCTTTTTTTTATCCTTTTCTCTTTTGTCCATCAGTGCATGCTGCCTACCACCACATTTTGTCCTAGCTGAGGCCACCAATAAAAGACACCCAGTGGGCTGGTATTTTCTCTATGCAAAATTGTCCGATGTCGTTGGAACGACTGAAGGAAGAACACACCTGTTGTGCGTTCTTCATATATACACACACAAAAGGTGCGGGGGGCAGCTTGCCGCCTTGAGACTTGGATTCTGCTGGAAGAGGGCCAGCCCTCCAGCCCCAACCCCAGGTTCCCTCTGGTCAAAGCTGGCAATGGAGTGCAGGGTGAGAGGAAGGGATGTGGCCACTCACCTGCTTCCCTCGACCGAACCTGCATCCCTCCCGTCTGCCTTGGTTTCCTTTCGGAATATGGTCTTTTCACGCATGTTGTTTCTCTTAGTGCCTTTTTTTTTTTTTTTTTCTGATTGGTGGTGTTTTGTTTTATTTGAAATAAGATAGTCCAGAGCTTTTCAGCCCATTTCTCTCCTCTGTGTAATATATTTCCTGGGGGTGAGGGTTGGGGGGAGCAGGGTCAAAAAGGAGACAGGGAGTCTAGCAGTGGGGGTGGGAGGTGATCTCTCCTGCCTGTTTGGAGCCAGAAGTCTTCGAGGTTCAGCTTTAATATTTGTGAGCCAAGTGAGTTTAAGGGAGCTGGAGGGACCGCCTGGCGGGATCTACCTGCAGGACCATTCTCCTGCCCCTTCCTGAGCCACAGACACAGCATGTGTCCAACCCAGGAAGGCAGGGAAACAGCCAATTGGGATGGAAACAATGGCTTTTTCATTGGGATCGGCTGTCTAGCCTGTTCCACGCGGGCCAGCGAGTCAGTGCTCCGTTTCATTTCTCACGTTCTTCAAACCGTGGTGTGTCCTGGCTTCCACTTTCTGTGTCACCTCACCTGTCCCAGTGAGCAGGATGACAGTGGGGTGACTGTCACGTCTCCTTTCACAGCAGGCTGTGTTTGCACCACTCCACCACCCCTCCACCTCACCACACACCACCCCCAAAGCAAGTGTCCCCAGGAAGTAGGAGTCCACGGGAAGAAAATGTTGCGAAATCTGGAGGGCAAGTCCATTGCACAACTCTCCCTGTCCTCTCCCTCGAAGTCATGCGTCTCCACCCAGTTCCCTTCCCACTACAGAATAGAGGCCACTTACCTTTCTCTCCCCTGGGGGTTGGCAAGGCCTCTCTGGGCCTGGACTTGAGGAGTGTCGCAGACCCCAGCGGTGTAGAGCTCTGGACCGGGCCTCAGCACTCCAGCATCCGGGACGCCTGCAGGCCACCCATCACCTCTCCCGAGCCTCCTGCCCCTCTCATCTGCACCTTCTTCCCTCGCTGATACTACAAGGAATCGCATTCTACACCTGGACCATTTGATTGTTTTTATTTTGGAATTGGTGTATATCATGAAGCCTTGCTGAACTAAGTTTTGTGTGTATATATTTAAAAAAAAAAAATCAGTGTTTAAATAAAATGACCTATGTACTTAATCCTTTAACTCTGCGGATAGCATTTGGTAGGTAGTGATTAACTGTGAATAATAAAATACAATGAATTCTTCACTCAGGATCTGTCCTTTGTTAATGGAAAAACGGTACCAAGTTTCAGCTCAGCAAGTCGGGACTTCATTGTCCTGGGAAGCATGTCAGTGACCCCCACACACAGCTGCTTGGAAGTCCTGGGTGCATGTTCATAATAGGTGCCCGGAGCCCACCCTCAGACACATGGCAGATTTGGACTGCAGTCCAAATGAGAAAGTATCCACCACTCTGGTCTGTAGCAGAATCTTTGTGAGGAGCATGCCCTTCGGGCATAGTAGACATCCTACCAAGGACCCTTGGTGATGCAGTGGTTAAGCACTCAACTGCTCCCCGTGGATTGGCAGTTCAAACCCATCCAGAGCCCCACGGAAGAAAAGCCTGGCTCCCATAAAGATCATAACCTAGGAAACCCTCTGGGGCAGGTCTGCTGTCACTCTAGTAGTGCTGCGCGTCACAATCAATTCTAGGGCACCCAGCACCCAGGTGTGTGAAAGAAATGAAGGCACAGCAAGACAAAAAAGGATGTGAGCAGGCAGCTCGGTCTCCAAACTATGTAAAACAACTTGTTTCCTGGGTGGCTGCATTTAGGGTGAGACAACCTATATGGGGAGTGTGGTGGATAAAACACTGGACTGCGAACCACAAGGTCAGCAGTTTGAGCCCAGCAGCTGCCATGCCGTGAAAGGAAGTGAAGCATTCTGCTCCTGCAAAGATTCCAAAGCCTTGGAAGCCCTCTTACAGGGTCACTGTGAGTTGGAATTGACTCCACAGCACCTAACAACAGGCCTATTTGAACCCTGGCTACAACCAACCTAGTTAAGATTTGTTTAGGTAAAAGACAGGAAAAATAAAAATGGTGTAAACCCACGTGGGTTTCTTGCTTTGGTCTTCGTTCTCAAACAGAATGCTTCCTTCTCTGCTTGAACTAGGTGTTTCCAACCTACAGCTGTGTGTGTGAGTGGGTGTGCCGTTTGTTTTCACTGAGGCTTTCTTTTGCTCAAGTCTGTTTGCACCAAAATGAAAAAGGAAATTGCTACTGTTGTGTGAGCTTCAGATTGGTCACATCCTTTGGGAAGAATGGCGGCTCCTTTCACAATTCCCGTTGCTAATGAAGGATGGTGGAATTCGCCCCTGGAATAGCTCCTCCTGTCTGGGGCTCTGTGGTTGTGTTGTTTGGTGAGTAAAAGTAGAGGTGGGCATGGCCCTGAGGGGAGTGGGTGCATGGCCTCCTGGCTCACAGGCCTTCATCTTCACAGGACCTGGGAGCTTGTAATGGGCTCCCCTTGAAGTGAGGTGGTACCCCAGCTGCTACGGGGCAGGGCTGCTTTACAGGTGGCTTCTACACTCGGGAAGAGAAAAAGGCAGTCAGTCCACCTGGCACTTAACTGCTTATTCAGCTTGCCCAATTTGAGTCAGGACTTTGTGCTTTGTGGAGAACCAGGGACAATCGAAGCAGAGTGACCCTATACTTGTACCCTGGAGATAATTTTAACTTGGGTGCCATGGCATCAAAATCAACTCATAACAACCCCATGTGACAGAGTTAAGTGCCACTGAGTCGGTTCTGACTCATAGAGACCCTCTGTGGGGTTTCCAAGGAGTGGCTGGTGAGTTTGAACCGCCAAACTTGCAGTTCAAACCGACCTTGCATTCCAGCACATCCCACAGTGCCGCACCAGGTACCCTGGCGATAGATACTTGTAACTTGTTGGGTGCTACTGAGTGTAAATCAAACAACAACCCCTTGTGACAGTGTAGATCTGCCCCATAGGGTCTCCTAGGCTGCCGTCTTCATGGGAGCAGATCACCGGGTCTTTTATCCTGTGAAACCACTGAATGGGTTCGAATCACGAACCTTTCTATCAGTAACCAAGCACTTAGCCCTTGGTGCCAGCAGGGCTCCTTGATAACTCCTAAAACGCTGTATTTACACGTAATGCCAATGCCCCAGGTCTGCACCTCTTTTTGCACTGGAGAATAAAGTGGTGTGCTGATGGATTTGTATGTATGTTCATTTGGAAGCTTCTTAAACTATCTCACAGGGTGGTACATTCTCCCATCCAACCAGTTTATCAGAGGCAGACTAGTAATGAATGTATCCCTACCAAGATGGCTGGCGTCCAATCCTAAAATCTGTCTGGTCTCAGCTTTTTCTTACCACTGTGGTTCAGGTTATTTATCACCGGTCTGGATTTACCACCTTGGAAACCCTGTACAGGGTCGCTATGAGTCAGAACCAACTCCCCCGGCACATCACCACCAGCACCACCACCACCACGAAACATACAATTCTGTGCCTAAAGCCAAACAGCATTCCTATTGGCTAACCCTGTTAACTACTCAAACCCAACACTACTTAAAACTAGCCAGACCTCTTATTTAAAATGTGTAAGTACTATAGTCTTGCCCTGGTGGTGCAGTGGTTAAGCACTTGGCTGAGTACTGAAAGGTTGGTGGTTGGAACTCACCATCTGTTCCAAGGGAGCAAATACATGGCAGTCTGCCCCCTTCAAGATGTCCGGCCTTGGAAGCCCTCTGGGGCTGTTCTCTGTCCTGTAGATCCACTCTGAGTGGGAATCAACTTGATGGCCAGTAGCTTTGGTTTCAGTTTCGGTGTGGTCTCTTGTCCAGAACTCATTGACACCATCCTCAAGACCTGATTCTGGTTCTTGGTCAGCAGCACTGGTCTTTGGTCTCTACAGAGTTTTATTTTTTTGATGTCCTGACCTCTTGTCAGATACATCATGCATTGGGGTTTAGAATAATGGTCATTGTGGCTAGCCTTTGAGTAAAGCCTTTTTCAGATACCTACCTTCAGTGTTGGAGTCCTGGTGTGGCGCTATGGGTTAATGGCGCCAGACTGCAAAGCCGTTTGAACTGCAATGTCGGTGGTTCAAGCTCACCAGCTGCTCCTCGGAAACCCTATAAAGTGTCACTATGGGTCGGAACCACCTCGAGGGCACTAAACACCACCAACAACAACCTTCAGTGTTGCACTGTGGCTTAACGTGCTGAACCACAAAATCGGTTCAAATTGCAAGGTCGGTCACCAGCTGCTCCATGGAAACCCTATATAGGGTCACTATGGGGTAACCTTCAGAATGGGAGTCCTGGTATGGCACTATAGGATAAGCACTGGACTGCAAGGTTGGTTTGAACCACAAGGTCAGGTCGGCAGTTCAAACTCATCAGCTGCTCCTCAGAAACCCTTTATAGGGTTGTTTTGAGATAGACCTGACCCCACAACAGGATCAGGACCTTCAGGATCAGGAGTCTTGGTAAAGTGTAGTGGATTAAACGAGCTAGATTGTTACCCACAAGGTCAGTAGTTTGGATCTGCCGGTCACTTGGTGAAAGAAAGATGAGGCTTTCTGCAAGACTTCTAGCCTTGGAAATCCTATACAAGATCACTATGAGTCAGACCCAACTCTGGCACACAACCACCAACCACTCCCACCTTCAGAATGGAGCACTAGTGGCACAATGGTTAAGTACTCTGCTGCTAACTGAAAAATTGGAGGTTTGAACCC